ACTGGTGAGTCAACATGTTTGCTTTATCCATAGTAGATGCCAGATTCTTGCTTTTGTGTCAGCCATTTCAGAGGGATGCTTAGCTGTTTATTCTGTGTGCTGTCTGATAACACTCTGGAAATGAGGCTTGCAAAACTGAGACGTTAAAAAAAATCTTGGAAGTTGTGTTTTCTGTATCTGAAATCTTGTAGCTTTTTATAGACATTCCCCAGTGAATCCTGAAAAACTTCCCACAAAGGAGTGGTGGAACATCGTGTAAATGACTGATTCACCTGGGATACTGAGCGGTTGGTTTGAGTGAGTAAAGGGCTGTCTAAATGGAATGATTAGCCGAGGAAGTCTGGGGTAACAAAATGGTGCAGGAATACTTTGATATGGTTAAATTGCTATAGCTTCTGAGTAAACTGGGTTGAATCATACTGTATCAAGGCAAGGAGGTGAAGAGGATGCATTTGGTGCAAGGTAGTTCAGATGCTTACCTCCCAAGACAGACTGACTTAATAGCTTCTGTGGGATTGTCAGGATTTTGGATGACAAGTGCTATATAAGCGTGAGAAGTCAAATAGATCACTGTTGTTCTGGTGTTGATGGTTGATTAAATATATGATATTTCAAGTTTTTAAAATGTACGTAAGCGTGCTGTTGCAACAGCTGCTCCTATCCTAGCTAGGAAATACACAATTTGAAATTGGTCGTTTGGAAAAGGCAAGTTGTACGTGAAATAAATGGACATATTTCTTGATTCTACAGAGCTACTGGAGGTTGTTATATAAAACTGTTTATTGTTATTTTCTTACTAAAAAAGAAAAAAAAACACCCAAGATTTTAGTGCATTTTACATCCATGAAACTTCTTTCTCTTGAGACTCCTGGTGCAAGACATTTGGTTTGTCATGTTGTAGACTGAAAATACGTAGCAGAAAACTTCACACTGATGCTACTTATACAGATAGCTATGTAGCCTTGCTGTTTAGCATAGTTTCCTGTGATGCCATCATCATTAAGACAAATGACTATATTTAGTAAATACTTAGTTAGCACTAGCATTTTTGAAAGATTGTACTCCTGGCCATGTCTCCTCCTCTACTCTAACGCTGGAATGGTATTAAGGATTCATAATATTTCCGATATGAGTTAACTCCTTCTCACCATTTCCTTCTACATTGCTTTAAAATTTAGAATTGTTTGCTCTAAACCTTTATTCAATGCTTATAGCACAAAAATGTCTCTAAACACCTGCCTTTCTATTGTTTCACTCTGTAGTTGATTCCATTATTCTTCCTCTTTGTTATTATCTCTCCATGTAGTTGAGGTTAAGTTTAAGTCAGGTGGACATCTGGTAAAGAGATGCCAGCTGTACTGAAGTGGAATTCTTCCTTTGTTGGTATTTTTATGCTAGAAAGAGCTGTGCAGAAGTTCTCAAAAGAGGCCAGGACTGAGATGGAGCTGTAACTGACAGCAAGCGTAGGAAGGTCAGCAGCGGTGCTTCTCATGTGAAAAAGGCTTTTGGAACTTGTGGCCTGAGACATCAAGAATTCATTGCAGTGCTATTTTTCTGGATGCTTTTGTAAAGAATGATGAAAACTTATTACAGTAACAGAAATTCTGGAAGATTTCAGTTAGATTTATGTACGTTAAACAGTGTCAGCTTCTAGTTAATAGAAAAAAAAAAGCCAGGAGAACTGCTTGGTTTGGAACTTGCATGCTAAGTTCTGATTCACAACACTCAAGCTGTGAGTTATTGCATTTGTGGGTCTTCTAGAGGGAACGTGGACACAACTCTGCTGTAATTCTTTCTGTACGCTTGCAGAGGAGCTTCACTGATGCTGATAAAATTATGATTTCAGATCAATCCAGATTCTTATCCTGTGTCTTTGACTCTTACTATAAAAAAAGCAATAGATTTTCAGCTTAAAGAAATCTATTTTGTAGGGCTCATTTGACTTTATCAAATGCTTTTGGGAAGTGATTAACAGTGCAGTTTGCGATGGGTGGAGAATGGTGTGGTAAAGAAGCCTGTTTTACAAATAGTGTTGCAGGTAGAAAGTTGACACTCGGATTTCCAGGCTTTGCTTCAGATGGTTCCTGTGGTTATGTGATAAACCAGCAGCGGGTGACTCCTTGCTGGTTACAGGGCGCAAGCGTTGAGAGGATGCAGATGCTCGCTATCAAAGTCTGCGTTCCAGGCCACCCTCTGTGCACCGTTGCTGTCACTTAGCCCTCACTTCATACTTCTCTGCATGGGGTTGTGCGAAGCTCCTGAGCACGTGATCTGTTCTGTGACCTTGTCCTCCATGGCTTTAGTTTTTGACTTCAAGGAATTGCCTAATCTATTCACAACTAAGTAGTATTTGTGCTAAATGGAATCTACTCTGAGGACGAGATCTAAGTAACCTTTTCCCAGGTCTGCTTTCAAAGCCCCTCATACTTGAGTTCTCAGAGCAAGGTTTTGGTGACAGTTGAAGTGATTGCTTTTAGCTGTTTGCTAGCCTTCATATTCTTTGGGGATGTAGAGCACAGTGAGCTGTGGCTGTCATTTGAAGAGTTTCTTTAGAAGACTTTCTTTTGCAGAAGTCAAGGTGACCTGCCTGACTTTGATACTTAGGTGCTCTGGCCTCGACCTGATTTGTAACCGCCTAAAGACCAGCATCTTTTCCAGTCTAGATTGAAATCATGGGTCAGTATAACTGAGAAGTAACCTTTGCCTTTTGAATTACTTCCATTGAATGTGGAATTCTAGCTATACTGATCAGCAGGCTTAATTTGATACTAGTACATAGAGATTATTTTATAGCCTACTGGGGAAAAGAGGTACTGCTCTGCTGTCATGGTTTTGCAGTTAAAGTGTCAATTCGATGGGTAGTGCCTATAGTGAGGATGTTGGAAGTGAACAGTTTTGCATGTGAAACACAGTGTACCAGCTTTCAGGTGTAATTTTTCTGGGACTAGTTGTTTTTTAGAAAGCTTGACAATACTGCCTTGACATACTACTGACATGGGACAAAATAAAGGTCTACTTGCAAAGTTGTAGAGATGATCTGAAAACAGAATTTAGGAAGATGAGGAAAAATACAGAAAAGGAAGACAGAAAAAATAATTTCGCACTTTAATTTTAAATGACTGTTAGAAAAGCTAGAACTATTTCCAACTTTTTTTCTCTCTTGGTCTCACCACTGAGATGGAGAGGAATGTCTTCTGGTATAAGCAGAACATGAATTCTGTGGCTATGAAATGTCCCAGTGTCAGTGTAGGAAGGGTTTTAATGGTATGAAGTATTGGACTGTAACTCAAAAGTTCATTTCCTTGCTTCAACCCCCCCCCCCCCCCCCACAAACCCCACAAACCCCAAACCACCAACCCAACCCTAAAACCACAACTCTCTGAAATCTCAACCTGTTGCCTGACTACTTCAGGCTACAATTTCTTGCCTGTAAAATGAAGATACTGGTGTTTTACTGGAATACTAGTATAATCTAGTGTTGCTGGATATGACTGTGCTTGTAGTCAAAGGCAGCAGGTCCGGACCTGCATGATTGCAACAAGCAGTGCAGAATTTGGGGAAAGGTGCTAAGTGCGTTTAAAGTTTGGTTGGCCAGCAAAGTTGCTTTGATCCTGGCAAAACATCAGTTATCTGAAATTAATGAAGATGGGTACTGTACACCTCTGTCTCTCATTAGAACAGGGTATTTACGGCTGCCACATTAAAAATCAGATACATAACCATGCAATTCTGGTGTATATCATTGTAGAAGATTTGAGAAGCCTGGCCTTTGTCCAGCGTGGTTGATGTAGCTACTAAGACTCTTCCTGCACTTTTGTTAGTCCTAAGGTAGTCCTGCTAAATAGCTGCTAAGTTTCTGTCTTACAAGTTGATCTTTGAGGTATCTCTCAGTGGTGGGAGAATTCCCGAGTACAGTTTGGGTTTCAGATGATTAACGAAGGGTTTCTTTTTTCTTTCAGGAGAAGACATTTTATTGTGATGAACAATGACAATGCACCCTTAGGAATGCTCTTTGTGGAGCATAAGAACTAGAGAATGTTTGTCTTGAACAAATTTTAGATTTTGCAAGATGTGAAGCAGGCTGTGTTTTGAAACATGTCTTACAAAATTCTAAGACTTTGGAATTTTTCTGTAGAAATATAAAAAGGTTCATGGAGAATCATTCATAGAATAGCTGGCGTTCTTTGTGTCTTCTGTCTTTTGAAGAGCAGTTACCTATCTGAATATAAAAGGCGACACAATGACTGTCCTTTGAATATTTGTTTGGCTTTGGGTGTAGCATCTTTGCCTTCTAGCAAGCTGCGTGTGAATTTTCTCATTTCTAAGGTCATTATCATTAATCAAGCGCTTCATTCCCATCCTTGCTGTAATTTTATTCTGAGGCACTGCTTTTGTTGCGGTTATTGCCAGGCCTGTTTTTAATACAACAGACCTTATTTTACAGCAACCTTGTAGAGTCCAGTTGTCAGAAGCAAACAAAAATAATTACTTAGTTTCTGTCATGTCAAATGTAATTTGAGAAAGCCCAGTCCTTCCCTGAGGTAAATCTAATTTAGTTTGCTGCATTTCATCTATGATTGGTTGCCTTGGTTTTCTTCACAATTAGAAGAGAAAATATGTTAGTGCGAGGTTCTTAATAGCAAGCTGGCCACAAAAGATCTGATAAGTTTCCTGTCTTATTTTGATCGGGTTCATAGGTTGTGACCTGGTCATTTTTATTAACTAAATTCAGAATGGTCTTATATGACTTCCTTTTGTTTTTCTAGCAAAATGTCTATTCAAATCAAAGTTAATTTTTATGCAGTTAATTCCCTTATTTATCATCATAAAGCATCTAGTTTCTATTTTTAGATCATACTTGGAATAAATTACATGTTATGCAAATGAAACGGTGGCTCTTTCTAAGCTTAAGCTGGTTTTGAATTTATCCTGTTTTTATGTTCTTTCTTGGAGGTACAGAAGTTAATTTCCATTATTTTAAAATCTTGTCTTTTTTAAAGATTGCGTATATATTGAAAGTCGCCGGCCGAATACCCCGTATTTCATCTGCAGCATTCAAGACTTCAAACTGGTAAGGAAAATTTTCACATCTCCTCCTTTTCCCTGCCCCATTCTCCAGTGAGATGGCAATATTTCTTAGTCTGTATCTCTTCCTGTAGCTCCTTCCGAGTAAATCTTTAGCTTCTGAAATAGTAGCTGTTTTGCTATTAAGGCAGTGACCTAGCCTGGGTGTAGATTTAGTTAACTGGGCTGTAGAGTTCAAATTGTGGTCTGTGTCATTTTAAGGTTTTGTAACCCCCAGACGTATTAACTTTGAGTTGAGTGTTTCTGGGAAGTTGTGGCTCAGTAAGTTAAGTTTTTCCTGGGAAGTTAAATTTGGCTGTGCCTTTACCTCTGGCTGTATATAGCACCGCTGTGTAAATGGAAGCACGTGGACTGACAGTTGAGGATGCAAAGAGAGACTGGACCAATATGACAAGTTTGATTTGGAAAAATATAACATTTAAGAATGCTTTAGCACTTTATTCTTTAAAAATGGAAAGTTGGGGACCTGCGCAAGAGCAAAGTAGTTGGAGTTGTGGTTTGCCCCTTTTTATCTGAATTTGTACGCTTGAAAGGTGAAACGTGTTCCTTCCCAGTATGCTGTGGCTGCACAGAAAACCACTTGCTGCTTAGGCAGTGCAGAGCAGGAGGGTGCTGCCTGTTGGACACAGAGGACACCTGTGCTTGTTCTGGCCTTTGCAGTGCTTTGGGTCGTGTAAGCAGGATATTTGGAAAGGTGACTGTTACTGCTGATCATCTTGCTGTTGTTGGTTTATGGAAGTTCTGAATATGTGATAAACTGGCCTTCTTATCAATGAATAATCTACAGATGTAGATCACCTGCTGTCTGTTGCTATCAGAATATATCTTCCTTTTCCAAGCTTTAAGTCTTCTGTTTTACTCCTTACAAGTTTATTTTGTGAGACCACAGTGGAGGGGAACGTGTAGACTTCCTTCAGTGTTGATGTCCGTGGTAGCGCTTGGCACTTGTGAGCAGTGCTCTCTTCTCTCCCTCCTCCCCACCCCCTCCTTTTTTTTTTTTTTTTTTTAAAAAA